TTTTATACTTTTAAATATTATTATTATTGTTGTTGTTGTCTTGTTGTTGTTATTATTATTATTATTATTATTATTATTATTATTATTATTATTTTATCAGAACTAAATGATTTGAACTGAAGCCAAAGAGAAACGAAAGCTGAACAAGGATTAAAGAATGTCCAAATTAACCAATTTAATGCCTGAGGCCAGGGGTAGAGAGGCCTCTTGCAGTTGTCCTCCAGGCAACAACTGGAGGGGGGGAGTACTGCTAAACTTCGCCCCAAGAAGGCTGCGGGAAGGCCAACAGAGAGCTAAACCAGGGCAGGTATGGCAGCGTCTGAATTACGGGCTGTGCTTGTAACCCAGAGGGTCTAGATGAGGCTAGGTCGACCATAGCTTCTATTTTTCAATGATACAAGATGGCACCCGACCATGAGGTGGCGCCCAAAATGGCGGCCGCAAGCTGAGCGAGCGTCGGGGCCTCTCGAGGTGGAAATAAGCTCCTCCGGCTAGCTCAGCGCGCCGAGAGGGGCCGCGCAGGAGAGATTTCGCTTCTCCTGAGCGAACGGCATTCGGGCGGGGGGAAAACCAGTGGTGCTCGTAGGCACAAGATAATGAGCCACCTGGGTGGCGTGGAAAGAGGCAGAGAGGCAATTTGGATTGAGGATGGTGAGGGGGGTGTTGCGCGAAGGCGCTGCGAGCCTGCCCGCTTTAATGCCCCTAGGGGCGAGAGAAATGCTCCTCTAGATCCCAAACACTTGCGCAGGGGCTAAGGAAGAAAATCAAACCTGTTGCTGACACTTTTGAGCAATTGAATAATAAGAGTTCCTGGAACGGCCAAGGAGCCTGACTACGAACAGCCTGTGTCTCTGAGGCTGAGCAAAGACTGGGGAATGCTGCACGGAGTCACGTGGAGGAGGTGGAGCGTTCCTCAATTAAAGCTCAGCCTGTGAAAGAGGACTCTGAAGCACCTCCCACTCTCTGGATGCTCCGAGCGGCTCGAGGGAGAATATGGGGACTTCCGGTGGTGATGCCTTGGTGAAAGCATGAAGGGAGAGTGGTCTCCATCTCTGGATCCTGTTTTTTCATTTTTGGGGACCTTTCAGGGTGTGAGGAGCCTGGAGAGTTAAGCAGAGAAGAGGGGAAGCCCGGAAGATGGCGAGGCGAAATGCGATCGCCAGCCGGCAAGAAAGGAAACCCCTGAAAACCTGAAATGAAAGTGTCTGTCATTTTATTATGGCAGACCCAAGGTCATGGCTGAACCGTGAATGAGGAGGAAGTGAGAAGATTATCAACAGAAAGTGTCATGAAAGTTAAAATCCCAAAGTTGCAACTGTGATGATTTTCCAAAAGTAAGTTTGAACTTGTTTCCAAGGAAAAAAGAGCTCCGGTGAGGGGGGATAACCCCATAGTACAGGAGCTGAGACAGTAAGAAAGAGCTGTGATTCAGCCCTTTTTACAAATGGAAAGAGACTGAAGGAGAGAGGGTATAAGTTGGAAGTGAATAGTTCTAGGAAGCTGAAAGGTGGAGATTGAAATAAGACAAGAACTGGTGGGAGAAGAAGAAAATCCAGGGAAGCTAGAGGAGGAGGTGGTGAAAAGAAGGTGATAAGGGAGAGATTTCTTTTCTCTGCTTCTTGGACGGAGGGTGATTACAAGACCAACATGGCAAGTGGAGAAGGAGAAAGTGAAATCTGATTGGGACATGAGAGCGATACAAAGGAAAGAAAGTCTTGGAAGGAAGGAGGAGGTGAAGTGGAAGTGGAGAGACGTTGAAAGGATCAGAAGGAAAGTCGGGATGACGGAGGTGAGAAAGGCGAGACACGGAGAAAGGAGTGACTGAGCAATTTTCAAGCAGAAGGAGATGGCAGGACATTAATGGGAGTGGAGAAGAAGAAAATTTGGCAGAGAGTGGGCTGAAAGAGACAACGAAGGAGGATTGGAAGAAACGGAGAAGATACGAGGGGAGTCATAAAGAGCGAGACTTGGAGGGAGTAGTAGAAAGACAAAGTGGAAGAGAGGAGAGCGGAAAACTGTTTGGACTGAGACAGTGAGATCGGAGAGAAAACAAAAGGAAATCTTTGAGTGAGGTGTATGAACTATAAACCTTAAAGATAACAAAATAGGCTGGTATTGAAATATAAGTTTGATTTATATGATTACATGATCTGTATGACTTGTAAGATTTGAATATATTTGTCTATTAGAGCACTGTCTTAAGGAGATTGTGGGTATAAGAAATCAAAAAGGAGGCTTTCTGCTCTTTAATTTGAAATAACTTGATGGTATAGTTATCTTGACTAAATAGGATTATTTGGTTAAGGAACGTAGTGATAAATAATCTTCGAGTAGGATACTAAGAGTTTAAGAAGAATATATATTGTTATGAGTCGAGAGAATCTAAACCTTGACCCCTCTTTTATTGTATAAAGGAGAAACTACAATACATTGTGTATAGAAAGAAACAGAAAAGGGGTGTTTGAGTAAGATATATATAGATACATGCAGATATAGATCTTTCAATTGACAAATACCTGACTACTGGATTACTACTCTTAAGTTAAAAGTAAATTAAGAAAGTAAAAAGGGAGGGCTTTTTTTCCTACTCTATTGGGTTGATATTTGAGGTTATAATTACTTTGATTAAGTATTGTGTATTGAACTAAGGAAATATAGTGATAAATAAGTTTTGATTACAACATTAAGAGATTAAGGGGAGTGTATATCTAGGTGATTATATATAAACAGAAATTAGATTCCCCCTTTTATTATAGATAAAAAGAAAAAAAAGAATAAATTTAATACTTAAATGAGTAAGATATTGTTAGATATATAGTGATATTGACTTTGAGATAGAGAAAGGGATAACAAGTAGTGCTAATTCTATATAATTATAATAAAGAGATTTGAAAAGAAGAAGGAATAAACTGAAAGTAAGAGATTAGTTTAAAATATATTGTAAAGGAGCCTCCTCGCTGAAAGACCGTAGATCACAACTCTCTGCGGCTATGGTCTGTGCTCTTTCGTTGGAGAGCCCCGATCATTACGATTAGGGGCTGAAGCTGCCTTGGAGGGGCAGCGGAGTAAGGGGAAGCCGCAAGCCAGGTTGAGGGGAGCCGCATCTCCCCCCCCTGGGCTTGGTCTTTTTCCCCCTGAAGACGACTGCAGTGGTGGTTTAAAATGGCCAACCCGAAGAGGAGGACTCAGCTGGATTAAGATTTGTGCAGGAGGGAAGAAAGAGGTGGATAACATCTGAACTGGGACAACTGGGCAATACAACTAAACAAAAGTACCCCGGGATTAAGGCAACATGGAACTTTTAAGAACAGAAAAGTGAGCAGCAAAATTACAAAGGGACAGAAAAGAATTTTTTTTTTGACAGCTAAGTGGGGCTTCGAACCAGGAAAGGAAGAAGCCGGAACTAAAGATTTAACTAAATTGGACTAAAATATTTTGGCAATAAACAGGCATAAAATAAAGCTGTCAAATAATAATAATAATAATAAAGTGTACAAATTGGAGACTGGACTGTGCTGGAATATTGAGGTTCGAAAAACCCTAAACAAAAAAATGGAGAGTGCCATCTTTTGACAAAACATTGAGCTCAAACAAAAGGGAAAGCATCCTGTTTCTGAATGAACTTGTATGGATATAACACTAAAGAAATATTGAAACAAAGTAAGAATCTTAGAAAGTGAAAGCAGAAGCAGAATAAAGAAAAAGCAAGGAAAGACTGACTGTGGGATTGATTGATGTTTTCGGTATAGACCCTGAGCTGGAATAATTGAGAACTTTAGAAAATTGAAAGAAGAAAGAAGGAAAGTAAAAGTGGGTTTTTTGTGGACTTTAACGATCATAAAATACAAGAGTGTGTAATGATGATATCTCTTCGGGAATTAAAAATGGAACTTAAAAATATGAGAGAATTACTACAGGAAAGAGGTGAATCACTTTGCTCTGTGTTAGAAAAAAATGGCAATGGCAATTGAAGAACAAGAAGAAAGAGCTCCAGAGGAGGAGGAGTTGACTCAAGGAGAAGACATTTTAAATAGACAATTAACACAAAGAACACTACAAAGAAGTGGGGAAAGAAGGAAGGTTAAAAAGTTGAGATTTAAGAAGACACCTGTGAAGTTGGGAAAGGCAGAAAGACCCAGCAGAAAAGGGGAAAGGAAGATATTAAGAAAGGGAGGGATATAAACTGGAATGAGAAAAGATATGGAGAAAAGAGGGGGAGGAGAAGAAGTAAGAAACAGGTGCATGAAATAAAGAAATACGGAAATAGTAAAACATTGAAAAGAAATTGTTTTTTCCGAGATAATGATTGATGAATTAAAAAGGGGATTCTGCAGGGTGACAAGGGGTAATAAGAATATTTCTGCAATTAAAAATATTTAGAAAATAGGGTAATATAGATACTGATAACTTTTATTAAAAATTAAGGGGGGGAAATATGCTGCAGAATCCAAATGAAAAGATGTAATGATTATTATTGTAACTTCTTAAAAATAATGGTTTATTGGGAATCAAGATGAGGGAATAAGTGTATATTTTAATCACTGAGGTGTCACACTCAAAGCAGTAAAAGGGGGGAAACCTATACTTGTTTTTTTTTTCTTTAGTGTTAAAATTTGTATTAATCTAAAATTTATAAAAAGAATGTGTAATGGAAAGGAGATATGACAGACTAAAGAACCAACTAAATTAATAAGTTAATATAGACTATTAAAAGCAAGGAGAGACATTGGTAACCTTTTTATTATTATTATCATTATTATTATTATTCAAACACATATTATCTTTATTTTTAAAATAAATATTAAAGGATTATATTTGAAATAATTGAAATGAAACAAAAAGATGTTTCGATTGAGGTTAATGAAAGAGGCTAGAATTAATGTGTTTGTTTCTCTCCTTACTGAAAATTTGGAATGGAAAAGGTAATAATAGAATTAAGTATGCATATATGAATGTATAATTGCTGTCATATTTGTATGTAAAGGTGATGACCCGGAAATATGTTGTCCACTAAAAAGGGATTTTTGTTTATAACGTGAAAAACTGAGTAAAATTTGATATATTGTAAAAGAGATAATAAAATAGGTAGTAATAAATAGAGCTTGAAAACAAGACAAGTGCCATGACATCAGCCTGGAGAATGGCAAAGAAGACAACATCTAGTCCAACATTGACAATTACATCACCAGCCGGTCAAAAGGCAATTGAAGGAATGTTGGGGCAGAAAAACAAACTGTAGCCAATATGCAAACAATGCAGGCTTCGTTAATGACCATTCAAGAAACCATGTTTAAAATGTAAGAACAACAGATAAAAATGCAAGAAAATATTTCTCAAAATCATATGGAATTGAAAGGCAATATTAGTAAATTAGAAGAAAAAGTTGGTACTATACAGCAAACAGTGCAAAAGAATGAGCAGAAACTAGAAGAGGTGGAACTTAGAACAGTACAAAATGAAAAGAAACTGGAACTAATGGACAACAGGATGATGACAATAAATAAAAGATGAGAAGAACAGATTATCCACCTAGAGATGGACTGTGCTGCCTATTACTTGAGGTTTCAAAATATCATTGAAATTAGAGATGAAGATCTGAATGTGCTAATGGCAGAATTACTTGCACCAGCTTTACAAAGGGAGACCCGAGAGATCCTGCTAGAAATCAACGCTGCCTATAGAGCTCAAACAAGTTACGCTCGATGCAACAGGTTACCCAGGGAAGTCCCCATGCGATTTGCCAGGAAACAAGTACGTGACATAATATACAAGATAACACAAGACAAACCATTGGTTTATAAAGATAAAGAAGTGCAAACCCTGAAGCAGGTTCCCAAGAAGGTGTGTGAACAGAGAAAAGACTATAAGTTTTTGGCAACACAACTTATTCAGAAGAACATAATGTTTC